TCTTAATAACAATGCATACACTCACTTATCTATATATATACTGATAGACGTCCATATGTATGCATACATAGGGTGTGGGTTGAAGATAATATCCACACCCAGGCAACATTTTATTACTTCACAATTCTTCAATACAACAGAACAAAAGACAACTTCTTTTCCTGCCGAGCGTCGATTTCTGTCGATGTTGATTCATTTCGATTCTGTTCTAGACAAACGATAAGAAAAGTATAAGATACTGTTTTATGACTTCTTACGCTTCGAAAACCGATGAATATCAACTAAACGATGACTATTCTATTCAACTTGAAATTGATTTAAATAGTCCAATTACATTGAAGCTTTATCATAATTATATAGTAATAGGATCTGTTCCATTTAATGACGATCGATATTCCTTACTTCGACAAATCGACTTAGCGTTTCGAGTAGAGTACCTATAACTCCTGAACGATTGAAGCTAAAAATCTAAGCCCTGCACAACTTTATGGATCTTCAATTGGCAGCTTCAGTGCACATCAGATGATTGAAAATTCACTGTAGTCATCTATCGAATACATTGTTTTTCAAAAAGATCATTTAAGAACCGTAGAAAAACCAGTGTTTCTATCAAAAGTTACACGAAAAATACGAGGTGTAACCATTTTGTCTTTGGTGGAGACCTTACCAACCAGGGCTGAAGGCTAGGGACAATCTACGTACTTTGATGCTACATGAAGTACTTTGAAAGTATCTATCAGAATAGATCAAACAATAATGGAGTAGCTCAAGGTGCCACAAAGTAATTTCAAGTACAAACAATGCTATTATTCGATTAGTTAGAATTCATTGAATATGTTCACATATCGAACGAGGACAATAGGAGTCAGAATTCATTAACAGGATTGCTTAGGAAAAGAGACAGGTACCTAACAACATTAACGACAATATACACAGATTATTATAAAAAATTCTCGAACATTCCAGAAATTTCATCGAAATTTGAATGACTCGAATACGTTTGTAAGTGCCTTCAATAGTGCAGTTTTTCGTTTTTCTGCAAATAAAAAGTTATAATGCAAATGTCAAGGATGCTGGATAATGATGCACTGATTTATCAGTGTGATCTTATGATCAACAGGAAAAAGAGTAAATTGATCAAGTTGTAACTCTGAGAAATAATCAATATTAGTGTTTCTAAGCTTATTGAGATACATAATAGAGTGTTGACATCTCATGCTATAGATATAATGATTATATACAATAAACTCATTTGCCCAGTTAATTCAATCGTTATAATAATTAATAAGAATTTTAAAATTAAGAAAAACAACCAGCAAATAGAAGCAAAGCAAACAAAAGATTAACTGCTAGTGAAAAAGCGAAAAAAAAATTGTTTGAAAAGCAGATCGTCTCTTTGGTGATTGAATATCTGGGAAAATCGGTTTTAATTGATTAAAGCATAAAAAAATCTATTATTTTATTGAATTTAATCTGAAACTGGCATAGTTTATCGCTTTTTTTTATGATTATTCTCTGCAAATCAATTTTAATCTGATTTTTGGACCGTTTTACTTACATGGGTGATTGATAGACTACATTTAACGATCAGATAGTTGCTGTACGTTATATTTAAGTTCTAATTCAGACATTCGATTATAAACTAACTTTAGATTTCTTTTTTTTTGAGTGGTCTGATGTTTTGCTTTCATTTGCGCATTCGAAGAGTAAGTGACCGAAGAAATGTTCAAATGTTGTCATTTTTCGATATGCTGCATAGTGTTTGCAGTAAGAAAGAAAGTGCCCTTTGGTAAAATGTGAATATGATTCTTCTCTTTATAAATACCCATTGAAGAGCACCTTCGAAAGACTATACGCACACCTATATCTTGCGCATTTGTGAAAGTTCTACACAATGTATGCATTAAGATATATCTATCAGAAGTTTTTTCATAAATAATCTTCGATCAAAAAGAAACATGGATGGATAAACTCTGATGGATTTACACTAGTTCGTTACGCTTACAAATTGGCAGTAGATTTAAAAATACATATTCCAATAATAGTAAACGAGAGAGCCAGTTTACTGTTTTCTTAATAAAAACAGATAAATGTACATTGAATTGCATTGTTTCTACAAAAATACATGCCAGAATGGATGCATGTGGATGATTGCCGTTGTTGCCAAGGTTGTATGCATGTTATATCTGTTGGTGTGTATGTGTTAAGTGCATGTCTGTAAATAGATGTGTGCACGTGGATGTAGATCACTAGAAGAACATCCACACCCGAGTGGAGACCGTCGTCGTACAATGAGAAACTGTTAACTCAATATTTACAGCTGGGATCTTGACGATAATTGAAGATTAGCCAGTTGGAGACTTTCAGGCTCATATTACTTGATCGATAAAACCATGGAAATCGTTAAAAATGAGCGAAATAGGTTAGCCTTAATACTCCGAAAGTCAATAAAAAAAATAGTGAAAGTCGATGGTATTAAAATTTCGACCGAATCCGACCGGTAACCAGCAACCGGCCAGTTAGGTTCTAAATATAACCTATATCAATATCATCTTCGTACTACATAATCATAGTGTTAGTCTCGCTAATAATTTTAATTGATCACACAAACAACATTATACTACTATGAGCTTAGAGTGTAAATTCGAATATCTCTTTTCAACGCGACAAAATAATCAAGATTCAGCGTTTTACCAATCACAATTCTCCACCAAAATTGTTGAAAGGAATGCTAATCCAGAGTCAAAACGTTGATACTCATTGTTCTTAAAGAACAAAAATACAAACGACTTAACAACATAAAAGAATTGGAGAATATTTTGACGTGCTTCTGTAAACACATTGTTCACTTATAACAAATGTTTTCAAAGTCAAATGTTTTATTTGTTTGAAGAGCATAAAAAAGTCCATTTGTACAAACCATAGGAGTGCAATGGAGAAAAAAGAAATATAAAAGCAAGAGGCAATAATTAGTGTGTATATTCTCACATACTCTAACAGACATGCGAATGAATAAAACAACGTCTATCAAAGCTAATAAGAAAGCAAATTATATCAAAGCCAATACAAAGGCAATTCCTGATGTGCCATCAAATAGCAAACGATCATCGTACGATTATTGTTGAACGAATTAACTCCCGAATGATTTTTTTTTCATGTTCGTTTATCTAGTCGTCGTCGCTCCAATCTACTGAAAGCAGTTTTACTCATTCTCTGTGTAGCGATTACTGCAGCAGCCGGTGCAGTCATTCCTGTTATTGTCATATCTACAATTCAGCAAACTACGACATCGACCATGACAACAGAAGGTCAATAATTTCCTAATTATATTTTTGTTTCTCAAATTCAAAAATTTTTGCAGTGACATCAGCAATCGGATCAAATACTACAACGGTACATGAAAAGATATTCATTGCTTTTTTTTTGTCGAACAGTTGGGGTTTTTTTTTTGTAGATATCAAATACATCAAGCAACAATTCTTCTGCAAGCTCTGCAAGTTCTACAAGCTCTACAGATTCTACAAGCTCTGCAAGTTCTACAAATTCTACAAGCTCTGCAAGTTCTACAAGCTCTACAGGTTCTACAAGCTC